TTGTTTTTTATAAAAGAATTAAAAAGAACAAATACATCAACGTCTCATTTATACCTTCATAGTTATGCTGAAACCATGTGTAAATATTATCGTGTCACTATATCGTGCCATTAGAAAGTTAAACAAGAAATGGTACATTTTGAAGTATGATACTCCGGCGCCATTTTCAATAGCTTTTCTTCCCAGCGTAATTGGACTATAAACAGAAGTGAAAGTTACCCGCAAATGATATATCCATTTCATGGAGTAAGTAATTTTGTATGGTATAACGAAACATATGAGTTAAAAAATAAATCGTGAAGTATTCTTAATGTTTTTATGAAAAATAGCATGCTCCGTCACAGCGGACAAATATTTCGATACCAGCCTGTGATCAAAGTCACATTTGTTGGTGTCTGATTTTTCATCTACAGAAAAATAATTCTGAAAATAACTATTTAGATTCAGTAAAGAACATGAGAATACAAGGCTGTTAGATATATAGGGGTTATGCACTGGGAGGTTTTGGATACAGGGAATATCCTGAGGGATATATAATATATCTTCCCGAGGTCTCTAATAGTTCAATAGAAGTTTACCCTTTACGTTTGTCTAATTTATAACAAGCATCTGCGCTTAAGACTACAATAGAAGTTCTATATTACAGCGTTGACGTAAAGTGGTGCAGGAGACTTCCTAATGAATAACTTGTGTTTCTAGCTGTTAGATAATGATGGATTAATTGTTATTAATTTGTAGTGTGATGGTTGTCATGCTGACAGAGTGTATTGAACAAACTCTTCACAACTGGCATGATTTCCAAGATATCTCAGTAACAACCTATTAAAGGGGTGGTATCAGAATTTTTCTGTTCTTAACTTTACCTGGTATATGGCATTCTTTTTTTGTTGTTATATACATGTAGTGTTATGCTCTATTGATAAAATTAAATAATTTGTCTCCTTATGCTACAGATTCTGAGAAATCTGGTCTTCATTCACCCAACTTTCACAGAGGCAAAACCCAGGGCAAAGCCTTCAAATGTCTCTGCAATTTGTTCACTAATAGAACATACAAATTATGAGATGTTGGAGTTAGCAAAGACTGATCGGCAATACTTTATGAGAGTTAAAGCTGTTCCCCTATACAGATATATTAAATCATTTATTGAATATTTCATTAATGCAAGGACAGCTTGTCTTTGAAGCCTTGTTCAGAGCTGATAGTAGTAACAGATAGATGTAATATTTTGCCATGTTTTATATAACAGGCTAAAAAGGTTTGCAACAGGATTAACTTCTTGATAAAAATTATTTGAAGCTAATTTCAAAGCAAGTGAAATAATCTAGTACTGAAAAATAGACATATTTCTTCATGTCTATAATTAAATTAAAGATTATTTGAAGCTGATTTTGATCAAAGTTTGAAACATTTTTGATAAATTATGAAACTTTCAAGCTACATGCACCTATTTCACTACAATTGCTGGCATCTGAATGACCATATACTGTAGGATTACCAATTTATTGACATATGTTTTACTTATTAATGGATTACCACATTTGACTGTTTGAAAGTAAGAATGGAATCTCATTGAAGCTTGTAAGCTGATTTTACGGACTTCATACGTGGAATATTATACCATTCTTCGATACAATTGTATATTTATTTTTACCATGTCATTGTAATAGTAGCTTCAAGGGGGATACTTTAGCCAAAAGACGCTGTTTGCTGTTGTTAAGTGTTTATTGCCAAACCACTAACTGTTATTACTTTTCATCTATTCAGTGACACAATGTGTACCTCTTACATTTAACTGCAGAAATATTCAACTTATTCAACACAAAGTTAACATATCAAGACTACATGTAGTGACTAAGATCAATGGCGGGATAAAGTACATAGTAATAGACCTCACGTTTGATATGAGGATATAGATTTACAGGAAACTGGAAAAGGTACCAGGTACCAGGTTACGATTGATCCAACACTATCAAGTCAGTGGCTGTATTCAATGTTTGTGCATTGTATGGTTTTAAAAGTATACTTAAATGGATTAAACAGTTATGTTGATGGAAGGAAATAAAGTTCAACTTCATCAAATATAGATATTTGGAATAAATCTAGTTGGAATGTCAGAGCTATAGAAGATGAAACAATAAGGTTGGAAAGCTATATGTTTGTGGACTATTCAGAGGAGTAATTGAAACTTATGGAGGTTTTTGTAGTAGGTTTTGTTCAACGAGACAACTTACATTTAACTTCATATCAACTGTTTCATCAGGAAATACAATAGACCACATCTTGAAAACACATATACCAATATGAAATATACCATATGGTTATTTATTTGAACTGGAATATTTTTAGCTTTATTTGGACTTTCAAATTTCAAAATGCTTCCTTATTTGAATCCTAATGGAAAAAGCACAAATTCTGCAGTTTTCTTTACCAGATTTGATAGAGAACAAATTTCTCAGGATTTTTCATGGACATCATTGCTTCGGTATATTGATAATGCAAAAACTCCCAAATGGTGCAGGTATGTTGATCTAAAGGCTTATATGTAGTGGAGGTTTGCTTTGAAATTCAGCTTCCGAACCTTACCACAATACAGCACAATAAAGACATTGTCGCTCCCATCTCAATGCTTGCACAACAAAACCTTAATTCAGCTTGTTTAATTGCACCACACCATTGGCTTACTAATATTTATACTGTTGAACTTGGCTTTAGCAAATGGATTCTAGAGCATTGCTAGGCTTATTTTATATTTTGTGATGTAGATGCACAGTTAGTGAACTAGCAAGATTAACATGTTGACAATAAAATAGAGCAAAGGACAAAACGCTCAAAGAAATTATAAATCGGTTAGTTTGCACAATCCAAAGTAGGCACTACACAATTTGATGTGAGAACCAAGCACAATCAACAAAAGCACAATCACGAGTGTTGCAAAATCAAATATGATAAAAACATTGTGATGCTATAATGTTGCACAAAAACATCACATTGAAATAATGATGTAGAGGATTCATTGAAGGCAGGTGTAAAAGATGTATAATCGTAAAACTATACAAGGTAGAGATCAGAGTTCACCATCAAGAAACTTAGCATCCTTTCCTAGACTTGCCATTATAAAGCAATCACAGGCTTCAGTACATGGTTCTACATGTAGATGTGATACACCAAGTGCTAAATATTGTCTCCACAATAGAGAAGCTCCTCGGGAATATATGAACAGAATCAGGCCTAAAAGGGAAGTTCGGTGGATCCCTTTAGGTATATTCAGTATGTCTAGGTAAGGTACTATTGAGAAAGAAACTTTAATATTTGATATGTGTCAAGACCAGAACCTGTCATTTATGTGAACACTTTTTGGTTCCAAAGCTATTCACATGTATACATTTGTAATTTAGTATACTGGGGGCTATTTCTCGAAAGTTTCGTTATTAACGAATCGTTAATTGTCGAATTGTTAATAACGATTTTTCCGTTTCTCAAAAGATTCGCAATGACGTCATGGTTTTTAACGATTTATTCGTTATCCATGATGCGGTGCCCATAGAAACGAATCCACGATTCGCTATTAACGATTCGTTAATAACGATAAGTTTCGAGAAACGGCCTCCAGTATAGTATACATGTTATTGGTATACATGTCTTACTGTAATATTCAATACTCTATCTGCCTTTCTCTACAAATGTACCTAGTAATCTTTTTTTGTGTTCTAATTTTAAACTTTGTGATAATGTCTTGTTATACTGCATGTTTGTACAGAGCTCCCAGGGGTGTACCTGAAAATCAAAAGGAATGGAGCCCAAAGATTTGTGCCAAAATGTTGGCCTGAGTCTATAAATATAGGCCCAAATTCTTAAAAATAGGTCCAAAATTAAAAAGTAATGCCCAGTTATGCAAGTTTGTTACCAAGATTTTGGGTCCTAAATTTTCCATGAATGTATTTTCTAAAATTCCTTTGTGCATCGATTTACTGAATAGCTTAATAATTTTGGGCTAGGGCATGATTGATTTGGCCATTGTAAGGGCTGGTTCATCTTGTCTCATATGAATCAGCCTTTTAATAAATTTTGTGGAATTCTTGATATTTAATCTTGGCAAATAACTTGATCCAGCATCTAATCAGTTTGGTATTGACATCCCCACGGCACCACCAAAGATATCTACTCAACTTGAGTCTGTTTGAGAAATAAAACTTTTAATAATCAGGGAAAAATCTTGGTTTTCCCTGACATGGAAAAGTCGGGCAATTTCAGAGTTTCTCAGAGGATGGCAAAAATGGTTAGGTAATTTGGAGAGAAATTTTGTAACCACAAACAAACTAAATGCAATTCGTCTGTTTGAATATCTTTGGACTCTAGTATAATTTATGACACTATCAAAATTAAAGGTATGAGAGGGTATTGGTTTCCAAAGAAAATCAATGAGAGTTCAATAAATTCTATTGCAACTACATGAATTTTGTCTTCCTAGAATTATATAGGTGGCGTATGTATAGGCTGGCATAGCTAGTTGCTGTAGCCATGGAGCTGAGGTGACATCTATAAATGGACATAATAAATCATGTTTCCATATTTGAATTTGACAAAATAAGTGTCACTTCTATTTTATGCACATAAAATCTGGAATGTCATACAAGTATAAACCTGATAGCCCTTTATATATTTTTTTGCTAGGAATTTGATTGATGAATAAATTGTGAATAGTATCACTATTTGTTATAGGACACTCAGTGTAAGTGTATCTCAAACTTAATGTATATTTTACAATAGAGGGGTATAAGGTAAACAAAAATCTGTATGCTCTTTTTATAAAACCTTTAATTTGGAGAATTTGTATATGAGAGTAAGTAAGTAAAACTTTTTAGATCAAATCTTTGATAAGAATCAGAATATATGTCCTTTCTGAAACCCTTTTATATGACTTTTATTAGATGTTAAAATGTGAATGTATTTTAGTGTTTTTCATGGTGACTTAAAGTCAGAGTTCACAAGGGAAAAATCAATTTAAAAGGATTTTATACATTTTTCATCAGATTGAAATTATCAACTTGAGCAAGGAACAGTTTATAATCTTTTGGCTTAAATATTACATCATTAACAATGCTTATAGACTGGTCTTGGCTCTGGCAAGGTTAACCCTATTGGATATTTGAATCTGGTCTCCAAACATCATAAAGTCTAGGAGAAACTATAATAGACTTATAGCAAAGGATGTATGCCGACCTTTGAGTTTGTACAATGAAATAAATGCATAATTTTACAAGTGTTTACTCGGAAGGTTGGTGTTTGGAGCCTATAAGAATTGTCAGAAAAGTAAACAATATTCCTTCAAGTTGACAATGGCATTGAATTGAAATTAGTTTGTTTTGTACATTATAGAAAATGTTGCTATTAAATCAAACAGGAATGTTAAGTTTCAAGACAAATTGCAAGCATATTGCATTAAATTAAGTAGCTTTATATATGATGGTGTTATAGTATATGAAGAGGGATATTGATTGAGATTTGAGAGAAACGGCAAGAGACGTCAAGAAAAGTGAACAGTTCACCAGCCAATATTAATACAGAGAAAACATAGATGCTATTGATGCCTAGTGATAAGGTGATTTCAAATAGCAGGCAATCATAATAAGAATCAACTTGAAGGAACAATAAGAGTAATCAGAGGGTAATTTCCAATCATCTCAATGATAAATCAATCACCAACAACACATACAATGAAAATCGACAACCGAGTCGAGAACAAGATCAAATTGGAGTTGAATCCTGAAGGAGCACAAGGTGGTTATACCACAGATGCTGACTTTAAGAAACAGCAGTTGAGGCAAATAGTTATAGCCCAGGCTAGGATGTTACAGAGATCAAAGACGCAGCCAGATATTACCCACAAGCCTCCAATGGGAGCTGGGGGAGGCATGTACCAACAAAGGTCCAAAACACCAACTGCTAGCGGAAGCAGTGCGAGTGTAGAGCTCCATAGGAATCAAAAACTACGGAGTATATATGGAGCATGTTGTGGGATAACTCTTCTAGGAGAGGAGCAGCATTTAAACTTCAGGCGTGCAATGTCGTCTAAGGGGTCTAGGACTTTAGGAACAACACGGAGGTACCAAGGAGGCTTGAATGCTTGTGTGTGGGGTGGTGGTATTATGGACCAGGGGGTGGAGATGATAGGTGTTCACCCTTATGCTAACTGGTATGTCACCCATGATTAACTCATAGTGGTACTTGCATGTTTAATTTTAAGAGGCACGTGCTGATATTATGAAGCAAGTATACAGCAAGTATACAGTGCACATCATGACAGACCATTTAATGGTCTCAGTATTGATATGTATATTTTTTCTTCTGTGCAATGCTACTGTGAGTTTATCTGATGGCAATTAATAAACTCTGTTGATGAACATTGCATTGTACTGTACTGTATTGCAATTAGAACAGTAACATTTTTATGTTACCAACAATATGTTACCACCAGAAGTGGTGACATATTGTCAGATTGTTATTATAGTCTCCAACTTTTTTTTGAATGGTGTTCGGTGGTTGGTGTTTGGTATTTGGCAGTTGTTTTTAGCGGTTGGCATCTGCAACAATTGCAAGGTAGTGACATTTGGATGTTAATACCTTGTTAGCCTTGTTGTTTTTTGCAAATAATTGAGGTTTAAACTTTCTATAGATTTGTTTGTTAATATTTTGTTGAGCACAAAATGAATGAATGCGAAAATGACGAGAGTACAGTACAGTCGGTGTTGGTCATTGCTTAACTAACTGTTTTGTGCTTTTTCGGCTAAACAATACATCAGAGGAGTCTAAAAATGCTGAATCATTACCAGTATTATAAGTTTTAGTCCAGTATTTTATAAAACTGATACATTTTAGTAATGAAAGATTACATCACATTATATGATATAAAAGAGATGTTTATAATGCCAAAATGGGGCACTTTTCCTAGCATTGATATTTATAGAAAAAATGTATTTATCATAGTGTATTAATAATAAAAGTCATCAAGTTTTTAGATCTAATAGAGATTAAGTATCACAAGGTCACTGATAGATTAATGATCTTAAAAGATAATTGTGGATTCACCACAAGTTACTCTGTGAGGGAGACTCGCCCTATTGCTTTTTGCGTTTCATCACTCAGCATATTGCAAAACCACGTAGCCTGTCATGTAGTTGCATTTTATGCCCTATGCTAGAGTAGGGAAGCAATTAGACCACTCATGATTTAACAGATATAGAAATGATCAACATATTAAGTTTAATGATTGTCATTTGGGAATGATGAAGGAGGTTATCAGATGCTTGTGTCCCCTGTCTGGTCCATGGTTCATTTTCTATAGTTCTTTTTCTGTAGATGAGATCTATCATATGTGTATCATAATCTACAATTCTTTATGAGTTGTGTCAGTGTAAATCAGTATGTTGAGAATTTTTATATATCATGATTTTAATCAATTCGCCAATATTTTGTGAAGGTGTGGAACTACCTTAAGGTATTTTACTGAAAGAGGATACTCTTTTCTATTGATTTACCAAGATGACTTCAAGCACCAGAAGTCACATAGTAAAATTATAAAACCATACATTTCATAGAATAATACTTGTACTGTATATTGATACAATCATTAATAACATACATTTTAATCTTCCAAAGAATAAGATTTAAATGGGTTTGGAAAAACAAGGATTTTTAGAGAAAGGTGTAAAAACTTAGTAAAATGCAGGTATTTTGGTAGATTTTCCAGGTACTAGTATTTGCAGAGCACTAATGAGTTATTGATTTGTTTCTAATTGATTGCTGTTATGCTTGTGCTTTCAGTTAATTGTTTGGTGTGTTGTGAGATCAAAGGTTTGCTCTAACATATGCTTGACATTGAAATTTTTTATTTCTGAGAAATATCCGAGGTCTCTTTCAAATTAAATGTATAATATGTAATTTTTTTGTAATTTCATATTTTTTACTTTCATTTTTATCAAATAGCAAAACTGTTTATATGCATTCTTTGTAGGGGAAATGGGATATTAACACCATTAAGCAGCATTTTAAACAATAGTAACTATAGGTATATCAGCAACATATTATAAAATATAAATATTCAATTTAGTATATTTTGCAATAAAAGTTTCATCTCATTAGATATTTTATTGGATAGTCAGTTATGTGGAAAGTAATAAAACATTTTTTTCATACTCAGGGGGTCTATAATTGAATTAACTCAAGGCAGCTCAATATTAAGCTCTATAACAACTATAACAATACATATATTCTATTGAATTCTAAACAAGATGTATTATTGAGAATTGAGAAGAAGGTGTATTGATACAGTACCGCCAAGCTTACTGCAACCATTGTTGAAATACTTAAAACTCAAAAGCCTTTAAGCGACAGCAATAGTGAGACCTTAGCAAGCAAACATTGTCAAAGCCATTCCTGTGACAAACAAGTCGACAATATGGAGTAGCAAACTTAAATACTGTGAGGGGTAAAACAGGAAAATGCTTATCTACGAAAGGATTATTTGAAATGTCTATACCTCGGTTAAGTAGTAATCAAATGAAACCTGCAAAGTTGACCCCTATTTGCCCCTGGATTTATAAACTAAGGGTCGGAGTACATAAGGACAGTTTGTCGAAATGTTTGAGTTTAAGGTGAGTCATGGAAGTCATTGATATAAGTACCAACAGAAGACATGTTTTTAGTCTCCAACTTTTTTTGTGGATGGTGTTCAGCAGTTGGTGTTTGGTAATCAGCGGTTGTTATCTAAAACAAATGGCAGGTGGTGATATTTTGCCTTGTTAATGCCTTGTTTATTTCGTACAAAGTAGTGGAATAACAAAATCATTTTCTTTTAAAACATTTATTACTGATGTGTATACAGTATGAATAAGGATACAAACAAAACTTCTAATTCTCATACTGAAATATTTTTATTGCACCTTTGGGTACTATATTATGATCAGTTTGTTGTTACTGTTCTTGGTTGCATAGAAAATAACACTAATTTTTGAAAACAGATATGGTGGTAACTTTCAGATGTGATGTCGACAGGGAGAAACATATAACTTTTTCAGGTCGACTGATCCTGTTTTTGGTTAATGTTGTGTATTTGATTCCTTTCATAAGATAGATAAACTACATAAAATTATATATAGTTTACTGTATAGTTAGAAATGTTATAATGAATATAAAGAATAAATTGATATGAAAAACTATATAATATCAACTAAGTGAATTTTATCTTTAGTCTACTGTATATCACTATAAGCTAATTATTCCTGTTCAATTTGATGAATGTCTTTATAAAAAATGTTAGATTTTCAGACATTGTCTTGTTTTGTGCATTTTCATCTTAAATTTTCATCTGTGTATTTCCAGTTCAACTACAAGTCCAAGCGTTCCATTTAACACAGAAATAGTGCCAAACTACAGTGACATTCACAAACAGGAGAGCCATCGCCACTCCTCCGTGGATGACTGTAGGCCACGAAGGGTAGACAGTGCAGATAAAGATAACAGACGGAGGAATCATCAGTTTGAACGGCAGAACGGAAGCAGAAACACATCTAGGAAATCACAGTCATTAGTAGACAGAAGAGGTAATCTCATTTAATTCATCAGTCTAAATACTTAATATTGATTGGTTAAATGTAGTCTAATCTATTGACTGGTCTCTGACAAATCAAAATTAATGCATTGCCATTTGACAGCCGTATTTTAGTATACCCCTGAAAGTGACATTACCATGAAGCAGATGGAAAGTGCTGAACTATGAACTAAGGTTTTCAATGACAATTAAGTCCAACTTCATTTGTAGGCTAACAAAACAATTACAGACTTTAACATTTGTTGACTGTTAACCTTAGGAAAGTTGAATTATTCAGTTATACTCATAATCAGCTTTTAAAGAACAAGTAGTTCTCTCTAGTATCACATTTTAATAAAGCTACCTTTTCTGGAAACATTGAAGCTCGGAAAACTCCTCATCTAAAGTTAGGAGTATGAAAGGTTAAAAAGCTATCTCAGCCTTTCATTTCATTTTTGCTACACATAACAACATTAAGCCATATTAATCTCATATTTTAACAATGAATAAAATGTTTACCATATTAGTACTATAAATTGAGCTATTTCTTTTTTCTAATGCTTATGGTGTTTTGTAGTTTTAAATAGTTGACTATCTATAATATAAAACATGAATTATAAGATTTCTTTTTTTCAGAATCTTTAGAAAATGGTCATGACTCAATAAGCAAAGATGATCAGAGAAACAATCGTCAACCTCCAGGAAATAAAGTAGCATTCAAAGGAGGTGGGAAGGGCAACTTCCTCACAAATCAAGTACCTGCTAGTCAAACCAATGCCCATAATAATACAACACAACGCAATCTGCTGCTTTCTGGTTCTGGTAAGCTTAGTTTCTCTATTGAGGTATCAGTAGATGTAGTCATTAGATATATTTTGGATAATATTGAAATTTTGTTAAAAAATGTGAAAAACTTTTGAAATGAGACAATTTCTCTGCAAACTTATTGAATGACCTGTTATGTTAGTAAATTATTCCGAATGTGAATGATCATCCATCCACCTCTATTAGGAGTACAGTAAAATCTGCTAAGGGAAACTTTTTCAGTCTCGTTTTCAAAATCCATTGTTTTTATGTTAATTGAATCTGTATAAGTGGAACACCTCCAAACTTGAACAGAATCAATTTAAGGCAGAATCAAGGGTGATCCATATATACAGGTTTTCTTTTACTGTAAATAGTTTCATATTTGCTTCTTGTTGAAGTAGGAGATGATTAGCAAGAGGCTTTAAATAAGGATCAGCTTTTGAGAATGTACTGTACATAAACATGTATATAATATGGTATTGATCTTTGATATTTAAGGCACCAACTCAAGTATTAAAGACGCTGAAGAACTGGTTGCTATGGGAACACTATGGCAACCACCAAGCACAGCTTCAGGTAGCACAAAACCTGGTCAGGGTGCTCCAAGTAATCGCTCAGTGGCAAACTCCACTCCCCAGCACAGGAAAGTCCCCTCAAGATCGTCAATAGTCCATCATCCTCAACTTACAAATAGGCAGAAAGAAAAAGAATGTGAGTACCATATGAAAATCTTGCAATGATATGTCCGAAAATAAATACACAACTGCATGAAAATTGAACTTTAAGCAGTAAAAAATAGTTCTGTTCTAAGCTAATATAACTTGCAATTTTACAATATTTGAGCAATTGAGGTCAACTTACTCAAAAATACCGAATTTTGATGATAAACCTTGATTTGAATTTAATTATGACCATACTACTATCTAGTGTACTAGAAGAATTTTTAAAGTTAAGATATCGTAAATCAGTTGTTCCTTTTAAACTATAATTTCCATTGTATAAATATTGATTTTCTGGTAAAAGTACCCCACAATTATATATATATATGTGCAAAGGTTTAATTCTACTCCATAACTTTGACCTTCTTTTTTCTTCCAGCTGAGCCCAAGTATCCTGACCCTATGGTGTCATCATTTCCATCATTTCAGCAAAGACTCTCAGAGCTCTCTATGTTAGAGGCAGACACTATACGATATGAACGAAATAGAAAAATTAAAAAGAAACCTAAACAAGATAGCTAGCGAATATCAATGTCATTAAGATATGATACTTCATATCTGATTTCCATGAAATCCATTCCTAATATGAAATGAGTTCTATTTTTGAAATACAAATTGTTTGGAGCTGAAATGCATAAGATATACTGCCAGTGCATTGCAAAGACAATAACCAATACATATATAGATGTATAAACAAAACAGTATTGAAATTAAGGTGATGAATTATTTTGACACTTCCCTCTTCTACCCTAGTGGTACTCAACTCGCATTGGTTGGGATACCTGGATGTATGGATGGATTCATGTGTTATGATAGTTGAGGAAGAATTTTAAACACTGCTGCATACATAAACATTATCTCAATGCAGTAACGTTTGCTGTGGGAGCATAATAATATGTTGATAATCAGAATTCACTTGTTACATGATTTTAGCACAATTTTGTTAAATATGTTGACAGCATCCATTTAAGTGATGTTTTGTTGTTTAATATTTGGATTTCATTACTCGAAGTATACTGTACATGCAAACACATCTTTTAGCTGTTTGGAACAATTAAACCCTCATCATCTCTGTTGTGAACCCAGAGGCAACCAATGCCATCACCAGACCCCAAAATAATAAAATGTACTGCACCATCAATAAACACGGCAATTGGCCAACATTGTGGAGTCACACACATAGGCTGCATGGGCTCACTGTTCGCCACTGTGTGAATACTTTGAGGCAAGCATTCTACAAGCATGGATACACAGTGGGCAAAACAAATAGTTTTATAACAAGATATTCCCCATCACATAAAATACAAATATTTATTCAAAAGTAATGCCAAAAACTAGCCACACAGTGATGAACGGTGACCCCACATGACTAATGTGGAAGGTACTTTAACGGATGGAGCAATGTTGGAAATGTTTTTCGACTTAAAATGTAGAAAACATGAACATGAAATATTTTTTATAAAATATGTGATATTTAATAACATTAAAATAAATTAATGGTATAGTAAAACTAAATATATCTGTTATTTGTTGATTACTTTTTGTCACTCCAAACCCTTGATATTCCATAGAAGCTGTATAACATACCTTCCTATAGTGTTGTACTTGATAAGATTAAGTACACAGTAGATAAGTTGGCCATTAAAATAAAAAACAAAAATGTATCCCCATTTGATGTCATTTAGAGAAGAACATGTTTTGTCTGTTATTTTCCCATGCTTTATTCAGGGGGTGTTCAATATCTATTGAAGGTGTGATATACAGTGTAATCTACAATTAGGGTCCATTAGGCATTTTGAAATATTTTATACTCTACTATATTTTTAGAGCTTTAATGTCTCATCACAGGGGTTCTTAACAATATACCTTACCCCAACAAACTTACCATTGGCTGAATAAAAAATATCAGCTTATACATTGTAATTCTACAAGTACTTTATCTAGTATGGGTTCATCACTAATATATCTGTTCTAAATGAATAAAAAACTATCCACTCAAAATCAAACTCAACAAAAAGTGAGGGGAAAAGGCTAAAGTAATTTTTTTTAAATGCCCCCTACCTCAAAAATGTTCAACCCTACATTGTAAAAAATAAGTTCAACAAAGGGAGGAAAAAGGTAAAAGTTTTTTTACATACTTCACATTTACATTGGTTCCATATGTACAAATTGCCATTGTTGACAAGACAACATTATCGGCAATCGAAGGTAAAAGTGAGGTGTGTTGAAAATGTACTGAAAAAAAGTTTTCATTTCAACAAAGAAACATGAAAGTCAAAAAAGTGAGGGAAAAAGGTAAGACGTTTTGAAAATATACTGTTTTTCATTTCAACATAGAGAATATTAAAGTAAAAACGTGAGGGAAAAAGGTAAGACGTTTTGAAAATATACTGTTTTTCATTTCAACATAGAGAATATTAAAGTAAAAAAGTGAGAAAAAAGGCAAAAGTGAGGTGTTCTGGAAATGTACTAAATAAAGGTTTTTCATTTTAACATAGAAAATATTAAAGTAAAAAAGTGAGAAAAAAAGGCAAAAGTGAGGTGTTCTGGAAATGTACTAAATAAAGGTTTTTCATTTTAACATAGAAAATATTAAAGTAAAAATGTGAGAAAAAAGGCAAAAGTGAGGTGATTTGAAAATATACTGAAGAAAAGTTATTCATTTAACATATAAATATTAAAGGCAAAAGTGAGGTGTTTTGAAAATGTACTGAATAAAAGTTTTTCATTTCAACATAGAAAATATTAAAGTAAAAAGTGAGAAAAATGCGAAAGTGAGGTGTTCTGAAAATGTACTGAATAAAAGTTTCATTTTAACATAGAAAATATTAAAAGTAAAAAAGTGAGAAAAAGGCAAAAGTGAGGTGTGTACTGAAATGTACTGAATAAAAGTCAACATAGAAAATATTGTAACAAATTTTTACTTTTCAAATTTTCTGTTCTTTGTAGTCCTGTGCCATTTTATCAGTTCGCTTACAGTTAACACATTTGGAAACTGTTTTTCAGTTTGTTTGACAAGTAGTATACTTACATGAATGTATGTGACACTAAAGGAGTAGGCAGAATCATGTAAACTGTTCGATTTTGTGAGATTTCATTTTGCTTTCATTTGTTTACATTTTTCTCATCTTACTTTTAAAGAGCTATCTTGACCTACATTCAATTATTAGTTTTTTCGGTCAATTTCGGCATGATTAAAACCAATGATGATTGGTTTATGTTATATTTATTTAGTTTATACATTTATCTAGTTAATTATATACTAAACATATATTGATGTTACATTAGATAGCACAGATTGTGAGTTCTAAATGAAGCCAGTTATTTTGCACTATTCATATCCTGGTTGCTTCATAGTAATTGTACACCAGTCTTGTCCTGTCCAGGGGCCTAGGTATTGCATCAGCCCATTAATCACTTGTTAGGTTCGTGTGCAAAACCTAGTACATGTTACATACATGTCTGGGGTATAAATAGAGACGACCAGGTGACTCAGCAGGCACTTTTCTAGTTGGAACTGAGAGAGGACAGACCTGCGTGCTTCCAGGGATTGACGCTTGATGGACTTAGGCTAATTCTAAGCATATATCTGATGGACTTAGAAGATTTTCATCCCACATATTGAGGGACTTAGATGATTTTATCCTGGTATACTTAGAGGATCTTAAGCAGATTCGACATACCCATTGAGGGACTTAGAGTATATTATCCTGGTATACTTAGAGGATCTTAGGCAGATTCGACATACCCGTTGAGGGACTTTGAGGATATACTTAGAGGATCTTAGGCAGATTCGACATACCCGTTGAGGGACTTAGAGGATTTTACCCTGGTATACTTAGAGGATCTTAGGCAGATTCGACATACCCATTGAGGGACTTAGAGGATATTACCCTGGTATACTTAGAGGATCTTAGGCAGATTCGACATACCCGTTGAGGGACTTAGAGGATATTATCCTGGTATACTTAGAGGATCTTAGGCAGATTCGACATACCCGTTGAGGGACTTTGAGGATATACTTAGAGGATCTTAGGCAGATTCGACATACCCGTTGAGGGACTTTGAGGATATACTTAGAGGATCTTAGGCAGATTCGACATACCCGTTGATGGACTTTGAGGATATACTTAGAGGATCTTAGGCAGATTCGACATACCCATTGAGGGACTTTGAGGATATACTTAGAGGATCTTAGGCAGATTCTACATATACTGGGAGGCACGTACACAACTTTTGATGAGAAGGAACCTCCACGCGCCTCAAGAGATTGATGCCTGATGGACTTAGACAAATTCTGCATACAATTTGATGGACTTAGAGAATTCTTCGGTCGATACACTTAGAAGATATTACCTTGAGGGACTTAGCCAATATTCACCATAGTTGCCTGGAGTTTGATGCCCAGAGGAACTTAGGAATATTCACGCATATATTGAGGGACTTAGCCAATATTCACCATAGTTGCCTGGAGTTTGATGCCCAGAGGAACTTAGGAATATTCACGCATATATTGAGGGACTTAGCCAATATTCCCCAAAGTTGTCTGAAGTTTGATGCCCAGAGGAACTTAGGAATATTTACGTATATATTGAGGGACTTAGCCAATATTCACCATAGTTGCCTGGAGTTTGATGCCCAGAGGAACTTAGGAATATTCACGCATATATTGAGGGACTTAGCCAATATTCCCCAAAGTTGTCTGAAGTTTGATGCCCAGAGGAACTTAGGAATATTCACGCATATATTGAGGGACTTAGCCAATATTCCCCAAAGTTGTCTGAAGTTTGATGCCCAGAGGAACTTAGGAATATTCACGCATATATTGAGGGACTTAGCCAATATTCCCCAAAGTTGTCTGAAGTTTGATGCCCAGAGGAACTTAGGAATATTTACGTATATATTGAGGGACTTAGCCAATATTCACCATAGTTGCCTGGAGTTTGATGCCCAGAGGAACTTAGGAATATTCACGCATATATTGAGGGACTTAGCCAATATTCCCCAAAGTTGTCTGAAGTTTGATGCCCAGAGAAACTTAGGAATATCCACGTATATAATCTGAAGAACTTAGCAGATTCCATACATCTTCAGTTTGATAGACTTAGAATATTTACAGCCCATTTGGTGAACTTAGATTATATCTTCAACTTGGTGGACTTAGAATATTCATCGATAATCTGAAGAACTTAGCCGATTCCATACATCTTCAGTTTGATAGACTTAGAATATTTACAGCCCATTTGGTGAACTTAGATTATATCTTCAACTTGGTGGACTTAGAATATTCATCGATAATCTGAAGAACTTAGCCGATTCCATACATCTTCAGTTTGATAGACTTAGAATATTTACAGCCTATTTGGTGAACTTAGTTTATGTCTTCAACTTGGTGGACTTAGAATATTCATCAATAATCTGAAGAACTTAGCCGATTCCATACATCTTCAGTTTGATAGACTTAGAATATTTACAGCCCATTTGGTGAACTTAGTTTATGTCTTCAACTTGGTGGACTTAGAATATTCATCGATAATCTGAAGGACTTAGCAGATTCCATACATCTTCAGTCTGATAGACTTAGAATATTCACAGCTCATTTGATGAACTTAGATTATATCTTCAACTTGGTGGACTTAGAATATTCATCGATAATCTGAAGTACTTAGCAGATTCCGTACTTCTTCAGTTTGATAGACTTAGAATATTCACAGCTCATTTGATGAACTTATTATATCGTCAACTTGGTGGACTTAGAATATTCATCACCTTGAAGGACTTAGAATATGCATCGCTCATCTGATGAAAAACTACATTAGTGATGAACACTTTTATATATATATAAATATACAAGTATTATTACATGAAGGACTTATAATTAGCACCTCTGAAACTGAAACTTATTATCGATTTGTGTTGTATTATTTTGAGGCGGATGAAGCCAGAATATATGTTGTTAAGCTTTCATTAACTATTGTGTCTCTTTATTTTCACACGTGCATTTAATGTGTACAACGTATCCCCAAAGTGACCTAGTCTAAAATAAAAACACCCACACTACCCAAATTAGGCTAGCCGTTACAATATTAAAGTCTAAAAAGCAGGCCTGTCAACTGTCCCGCAATTTGCGTATTTGTCACGCATTTGCTGAAGAATTTGAAGTCACGCCAGTTTTTTTTGCGTGACAGAAAATGTCACGCAAAATACGCATTTTACCTGGTAATTGTCAAGCAAAAATATTTCTGTAGAAATTTTTTCGAAATATGTTTACGATACGGTAAAAATACGAACGCCGGAAAAAACC